ATAACTGAGGGAGATTTTACTTTCCTCTGAGTTAATACGTGCTATAATTATCTATAATTATCTATTAACTTAGGATCATTACTGTTATAGTCACAAGTATATACTTTCTATTGATCAGTTGTACAATGAATTTCAATGGCTCAGTAGTTGTATTTTTCTATTAACTCATCCATCACCACTACCAACAAGGAACTTAATTTCATTTTCTGTGCCTTCCTTCCCCACCTGCTTGCTCACTGCTGAAGAAGTATCTATGAGCTATTGAGATGGTTAATGTTGAAGCAAATGACCTGCGAAATCGTTATACTGGAAGTTTGCCCTTGAATAATGGATCTATTCTTGAATTCTTGCTCAACAAGTTGTGTAGGCAGAAACAGTGGTTTCTGAACTGGCTCCAGGAGCTTGGTAGTAGCTAGTTTTAGTGATGATTGTCAAGGGTCGAGAGTGAAGGCATATTTTTTAAAATTCAGGAAATTCTTTGCTCACCAGTTTTTTTTTGGGGGGGAAGTACTAGGGCTTGAAGTCAGGGCCTCATGCTTTGTTTGGTTTGCTTGCTTGGCTGGATCTCTACCACCTGAGCCATGCCTCCAGCCCTGATTTTTGCTGTCTTTTTAGAAATGTAATCTGACTTTTCTGCCCAAGCTGTCTTTGATCCTCCAGAGCTCAGCCTCCTGAGTAGCTCTAGTCATCACCAATATGGGTGGTTAATTATTCATAATAGACATATGTTATATTTCTTAAAGCTTGGTCTCAAGGACCATCTCGGGAGAGCAACTATAAATTCTAGCTTTGCTCTCATGGGGCTCCAGGTGAGGTGGCTGTGGATGCCGTACAGTGTGTCTTTCACAGGATGATTGTTTACCCTGGTGGGTAGCCTAATGCCTCAGTGCCACTGGTGACAGGTGTCCTTCTCAGAGGAAACCTGTTTTACTGGCAGATGCCCTGAGGCTCTTGTCTGATTTGTCATTTTTAGTTTCTTCCTACCCAAATAGATACTGCAGGAAAGCCCTGAGAACAGACACAGGCTTGTGCACACTGCTCAGATAAGGCACCAAGCAGGCAGCACAACGAACACAGAGAATAGGAGAAGCAGGTCAGCAATAGGAGAGGCAAGGGCAGCAGCAGTCTGGGCTAGTGGAAAGAGGGCGCCATCCAGGAGAAGCTGATGCCCCACCAGTGGTGGGGAGCCACGGACACAGGGAGACCTGAGGAGCAAGTAGCCTTTGTGCTGGGCCCAGGGTGTTTCCTGAGCAGATTTCTCATGGAGGGGGTTCCATTGTGGTACAGGGAATCATGCTGTAACCCAGGTAGTCACAGTGACATACTTGCATAGGTCCCCTGGAGCATGGGGTGCGTGGGGTAAGGGGATGGTATCTGCTGTCATGTAGGAAGAGGGATGCATAAGACAGACATCCAGATCAGGCCACTAAGGAACTGGGAAGGGACAGAGACTGGAAACTGTGGAGAGTGGCTGTGCCCTGCTCCTGTTATGCCAGGCTAAGTACTCAAAATGAATGCAAGAAGCAACAACGAGTAAGAACTCACCACCGTATGTTTGGGTGCGAAGAGGCTAGGTCTTTAGTTGTTTATTTAGCATTGTGCAAATAAGATCAAAAGATCAGTATCTATATTTATCATGGAGGAAACATTTTTCAAGTGGAATTGGTGTCATGGTAATTCTATGTTTTGGTGGGGGAGTTTTGTTTTTTGTTTTTGTTGGTCATGTATTTGAACTCTAGGCCTGGGTACTGTCCCTCTGCTCTTCAGGTCAAGGCTAGCACTCTACCACTTGAGCCACAGCACCAATTCCCATTTTCTGAGCAGCTTGTTGGAGATAACAGTCTCATGGACCTTGCTGCTAGGGCTGGCTTTGAACCACAATCCTCAGATCTCAGCCTCTTGAATAGCTAGCATTATAGGCCACCAACTCTCGGCTAATTCTATGTTTAATTTAATTTAAATTATTTAATGTAAATTGCCAAATCCTTTTCCACCATTTTACATTTGCACTGGCAAGGCCTGAGGAACTCTGGTGGGCTGTGATTTGCTGATTTTTGATGGTGATCCTAGTGGCGGTGACGTCAGGAATCAGTCCTTGTGTGTGCTTGTAGGCCTTTTGGATACATTCTCTGGAGAAATGTTTGTCTTATCTGCTTTTATCAGGCTGTTGTTCTTTGAATTGAAAGAGGTCTTCTGGATATAACACCCTCATCAGACACATGAGTTGCATATATTTTCCTTCATTCTGTGGTTTCGTTTTTCACTCTGTTACTATGCTTTTTAATTGGTGGTGGTGGTAGTTGTGGGACTGGAACAGGGCCAGGGCCTATCCTGAGCAAAATTGTGATCAAGATGAGCGCTCTGCCACTTTGAGCCACAGTGCCACTTCTGGTTTTGTGGTGGTTAACTGGAGATAAAAGTCTCACAGACTTTCCTGCCCAAGCTGGCTTTGAACTACAATCCTCAGATCTCAGCCTCCTGAGTAGCTAGGATTACAGGCATGAGCCACCAGCACCTGGCCGCTAATGCTCTTTTATGAAATCCAATTTAACAGATTTTTCTATTTCACTGCACTAAGCGTGACCCTTTACATTTTAAATGAAAGTGTTTGCCTAAAGTCCCTGAGTACTTTGTATAGAAGGCTGCAACTGATAAATACATAAAGAAATAAGGGAGGAATTTTAATCTCTTTGGAATAATTTGTTCTTGGTATCCATTTTATTATGAAAATAACCTTTTTCTTTAACCCTATGTTTTAAAATCTCCCGGAATACTACAAGAGCTGTGCTTTCTTTTTCTGGTTCCACACCTCGTTAGTAAAGAAAAATCGGTAAGGAGATGATATAATCCAATAGAAACAGCTTCATCTTCCATGTCTGTGTATAAACTACAGATGATATAATCCAATAGAAACAGCTTCATCTTCCATGTCTCTGTATAAACTACAGCGGCAAGTCTTTTTGCCACTGTCCTAAGTACATTTAACACAAACACGAAGAACTCCTTGAGCAACCATTTCAAAGCCCCTGCCATAGGATGGTGTGTAAGTTAAATGCAGTTTCTCAGCTCTTAGTGATGACCAGTTCCTCCCAGGGAAGTCTACATTTGCTCAGTTCCTGGAATATGACAGGTCCTGAGGGGGTGTGGATGTACTGTGATAATACTGAAGGAAGATGTGATCAATCGAGGTGGCTTTAGCTGGCCTCAAGCCAACATTGGCACATTTACATCTAGGACAGAAGTGACAAGGCCTGATAAGTATTAATTTGTCTGAAAACCATTAATTTTATAGACTCCCATTTTAAAAAGTTTTTCTAAGAACTGAATTGGGAAAAAGTTTCTAAAAAGAAGTTCATTGTTCTTAAGAACCTACTACCACATCTAGAAACACATTCCTGAACCTATAAGCTCTCCACTTTTTAGGAGCATTTTTCCTGAGGTGGTGAAAACTACTCAAGACCACTCCAATCAGAGTTGAAGAGATTGTCCTTGTGTCATCGTGTGTGCATGAACTGATAGTATTTGTTACATCCAGTGTCAATCTTCTCTTCAAGTCTGAACTGGGCCTAATAATACCTAGTCTAGTAAGACAGCACCAAGAAAACACCAGTTCTACACACTTGTGATTCCCGCACAATTTGATTTTGGAAAGAGGATACTGTATTTAATGACAAAATGTTCACCAATTTTTCTACAAATTTTGACTCATGAACAAAGTTCTCAACAAAGGCAGGGCTTGGGGCGAGGGGCCTTTACACACTGTTCCTTCTCCAAGTGGTTGTTGAAAAGCACAGCTTTGTCCTTTATGTCACCAGGGCCACATGAGAGACGGTGGGAATGTTGATCCTCATATCATAGACATTTCTGGAGGAATTGGTATTGTTTTATACCTTGCTTTTGTAAAGCTTCTTTAACAGTTTTGAGGTTGTTATTTAGACAAATTCACCAGCTTTGTCACTTAAGAGAAATAAAGACAGAATTAGATCTAAAATACACTGGGATATGGTAAATTATCAGGATTCTAGATACTCACACACAATGAGACCAAAAGAAGACACTCTTAGGATAGAAGAAACACAAAGACACAATGCCTACATGCCTCTTCACAATTATATATGATTGTGTATGTGTGTGTGTGTGTTTGTGTACATATGAACTCCAGGATATGGAAACAAGAGCTCTCTTTTTCTTTTTTAAAAAAATTTAATGTTTTATGATTCTGTCTTGTTTTTGTACGGTGTGTTCACACCTGTACCTTCAGGAGCAGGGGGAAGGGTACAGAACTCGAGGGAAAAAATGAAAAGTAAAGCAATGGAGCTCACTGGACAGAGATGAAAGTGAATTATACAACTTGTGGGTGAAGACAGAAGGAAGGGACTAGGAGAGAATGAGAACAGACACTGCATAAAAGGAAATGTAATCATACCTGACTCCTGTGATTGTAATCCCTCTGTACATTACCTTTATAATAACAATAAATTAATGTAAAAAGAAATAAAAAGATACAGACACAGGTGTCTCAGTAGCCTGTGATCCTACCTACATAGGAGGCTGAGATCTGGGGATCACAGTTTGAAGCTAGCCCAGGCAGAAAAGTCTGTGAGACTCTTCAGTTAGCCAGTGAAATAGCCTGATGTGATAGATTCAGCTTGAGCAGAAAAGGCTAACACTAAAGAAACAAAACAGTATTTTATTACTGAGTTTCATTATATACCTAATATATTTCTGTGTACTTTCTGTGAATTGTAGACATTTTCATAGTTTGTTCAAATTGGATTTTACTAATTCCCTAAGGAGCATGCTGTGACCAATGTGTTTAATTCTGAAAATTAAGGTGTCTTATGTCACCTCTAAGAGATGGAATAAGCCAAGTAAGGAAAGCAAATGGAGCTTAGTTTCTGGTTGCAGCCAGCACGTCTCTTTCTAAACCAGAGTGCTCTATTGTATGACTTTTCTGTAGCCCTAAAATAAAAAGTAATGTTTTTTCTTCCTATCCTTAGGCTCTACCTGACACACAATGAACTGGATAATCTTCATAAGCCAAAAACATGGGGTTTTTATCCCACTGATTTTGCTGTAGAGCTATACTTTGAAGAGGTAGTTTCATTAGCTATTCTATTTGGCACACTATGTCTAAATTCATGTTACTTTATATTTCTGTATATATTAAGAAACCCAGAAAATAAATTCTGTATAACAAAGTACCATTAATGATTTCTTTTTGTTGTGTTTTGGTTTGGTGTGGTGTGCCAGCACTAGGGCTTGAACTCTGCATCTTACTCCTGGCTGATGCTCTGCCACTTGAGCCATGCTTCTACTTCAGATTTTTGGTGGCTAATTGGAAATAAGAGGCTTGAGGATTTGTCTACCCTGGATGGCATTGAACCTCAATGATCTAGATCTTAGTCTCCTGAGTGGCTAGGATTATAGGTGTGAGTCAGCAATGCCCAGCTTCACTGATGTCTTCCTTGAAGGCATATACTTCATAGTCTCCCTCTTGTATTTAATTTGGGAACATAGCATACAGAGGAACAGTGGGGACCATATGGAAGAACTCTGAGACAGCTTAAAGCTATCTAAAAATTATAATCCTACCAATAACCATGTATTCCCATGTTTTTACACAAGTGGTTTACATTTGCCATTTCTGATATCAGAAAACAGATTGCTTGATTCACAAACTATTCATACATCAGACTGGCAGGGAAGTTTTAAAGCCAAAGGGAGAGATATTTTACACCCTTACCCCTCACCTCAATACCACACATGATACAAGACTTATATGACAAACCATAGTTGATTACAGACACACAGACAAGGGAGGGCAAAAGGACTTTGAGAAGCAATTATAAATCTCACTAACTTCTGCTTTTGTATAACATCAAAAATGAATTCAAAGAAATATTGAGTAATCTAGAGTTCTTATTTGAAAATTCACTACCTCTGCTCATAACCAACTTCACCTAAGCCTTGGGAACACTGAGAAGGGAAAGACACCTTTCCAAACACTGGCTAACCCTGTGGACACACAGTCATCATTACTTTCTCGTTAGTACAGATTGGTACTTTAAGTACCTTACTTACTGGCACACTATTTTAAGGCCTTCAAAAAGAGTTCTATTTTGACATGACTGGAATGATGCCCTTACTTGAACGGTTTTGCTTTTATTAGCATTGCTTCTCAGGGACACCTTCTAAGAACCAAGTTACTATGTGATTGCATCATTGTGCAAACATCAGGATGTGTTTCCACAAAATGGCCACAGCTATGGTGTCACTAGGCAATAAAATCTCACAGGACCACCATCATGCATGGCTTCTCACTGACAGAAACATCATGCAGGCAAGGTTGACTAAATCCTCAAGCCCCTACAATGCAGAAAGCATACTCTACAAAGAATTCATGAAGATAATGGAAATGTTTGGAGCAAACCACTCCAACTTAACAACCTTATAATCAGCACATTGACCACTTGGGGCACAATGGTCAGGGAAGTCTGCCAGTTGCCAATGTGGCCTTTTATAATGGAAATATAACAACTGAGAAAGGATGTGGATGCCAAAGTGACACAGACAGGAGCTTAGAGCCCTGTGGGATGGAAGATGGGCACCAAACAGCAGGCAGGCTACATCTCTCTTGGTCTCCCCACCACCAATATCCATAAAAAGGGTTCTAGCCAGTAGAACAACCACATAAAGGCTTTTCCTTCCCTGCCCTGAATCTGACTCCTCTAAAGGAAAAGATCTCAGAGCATGCTTTCAAGATCCTTCCATAGTATTACTCCCTTTAAGTCCAGTAACAGAATTGTGCTGTGACTCAACATTTAAAATTCGAGCAGCAGTAATCTAGTCAGACTACATGGCAGGCTTAAGTGACCAGGTGGTAGAATAGCTGGTAGAACAGTCCTTTTCAATACTAGTGATAGGGAAGCAATCTCTCATTTTTAAGAATCTTCTTTTAGAAATAAGAAGGTTATAGTTGAGGTTTCTCTCCATGTCAAGACTCATCCAAATTACAAGTTGCCACATTTTTTCTGGTTTGTTCACTTAAAGAAAACTTGTACCTCCCATGTTTGTGGATTGGTAGAAAGCCATGGAAATAGCCATACCACCAACAGCACTGGGGAGGCTCAGGCTTCCAGGTCTGGTTTGGCTCTTTACTGGAGCTCCACAGAGCAATCAGAATAAGCCATGGATAATATGGACTGCTGTTCATGGAGCCTCTACTTTACAAGGTCTGCCAGAGCTTGGTTGGATAGTTAGGCCAAAAGCCTGGACTTGGAATGTGTTCCATGGATATCTGTTGGTGCTTACCTGCCCAGGCTGTGTGAATCATGCAATAAGTACAAAGGCTACTTTTAAGTGCTAATGCCAGAGTAAATAATTTTCCTGGTAGCCCCACTAAAGTTATTCCATGGCCTTGGTTTATGACCTACCCAGCCCAGAGAGCCCCAGTGTTCTAGAAACATTGGGATGGGTCAAGTAGGATTGTGAAGTGGCAATAGCACCCAATGTGGGATCTATTGAAACATGAAACAATAAAAACATAATAGAACATGAGTTAAAATCCAAGAAGATTCTAAATGTGTCTGTAAATATATCTGATATATATGTAGCATATGTAGCATATATATATATATCACATATCATATCATATATATATATATCCATACATACATATTTACAAAGGCAGAATGAAAGAAATACTCCCAGCCCTGCACACATATAGCAAAATATTAAAAGAGGTAAAGCAACGTGGCACAGGCATGAGATCCCAGCCACCAGGAGATATGGGTAGGAATATCACGGTGTGATGCCAAACCTGGTCAACACAGGAAACTCTATACAAAATATAAGCACAAAAGGAATGAGGTTTTGTCTCAAAGCTAAGAAACTTGCTAGAAGTAATCCAGCCACGGTTCAAAACCCAATACTGACACAAGAAAAAAGATAAACAAGTAGAGAGAAAGAAGAAAAAGAGATGCAGATGTGTGATCGCCCTCAGCAGTTCCTTGAGCCTTTGACATTGTTTGTGGATAACTTCCTTCCTTCCACAGAACAGAGTAAAAGATGAACAGGTCAGGAGCAGTATGCTTTTTCTAGGCAGTATATTGGTTACTCTTCATAACAACTTCATACGGAGTCAATCAAAGAATAAAATTCTTAGCCAGGTGCTGATAGCTCACGCCTGTAATCCTAGCTACTCAGGTGGCTGCGATCTGAGGATCTCAGTTCAAAGCCAGCCTGGGCAGGAAAAGCTGTGAAACGCTTATCTCCAATAAACCACCAGAAAACCAGAAGTGGCGCTGTGGCTCAAGTGGTAGAGCATTAGCCTTGAGCTTAAGAGCTGAGGGACAGTGCTCAGACCCAAAGTTCAAGCCCCATAACTGACAAAAAAAAAAAGTATTCTTTTTGAAGCAAAGAAGAAATCTATAAAGAATAGTAGAGATCTAAACACAAAAGATCAAAGCATATGAGTTTGATTTTTAGCCAGTACTGGGGCTTGAATTCAGGGCCTGTCCATGAGCTGCTTTTCCTCAAGGCTAGTAATCTACCACTTGGCTATAGCATCATTTCCAGCTTAACATAAACATGCATCTATATGTCATACATAAATATATATATCATATATCATGGATTCATGATATATAGTTTATTGAAGATAAAGAGTCTCACGGACTTTCCTACTCAAGCTAGCTTTGGACCACGATCCTCAGATCTCAGCTGTCTGAGTAGCTAGGATTACAGGTTTGAGCCACCTGCACCTGACTATGAGTTCTTTATCCAGAGCTATGTCATCTTTTGAGGCTTGTGGCTTGTTATATGGAGCTCTGCTACCATAAGAGACTAGTTCTCAACTCAAACCCATCATCTATTGATTAGAGCCCCTGCGTCAGGCCTGTAGTTTCTAAACTTGTGGGATGACATGAAGACTCTAGGATGATGATCTTCAGGAGCAGTTGCTGAAAAATAATGTAGAAAGGATTTGTACTTAAGACAATACAATTGAATTGGGGGAAAAAACCCACAAAAAGCTAGCATTGTTTTTATTTAGTTGTAAACACCTAAAAAGAAAGACTGAGTGACTAAACTTTTTCTCAGACAAAATATGTCTATTACAAATCTATAAAACTGACATCTATTAAAAGCGATGCATAAACTTTCAAAATAGCTGATTCACATGAGAATAAAGTTTCTACAGTTTATAAGCTGCAGAGTAATTTGAACTAGAATACTATATGAAGTATTTCAAGTCCTTGTGATGTCTGACCACATGCATAAATTCTATAGTGTGATTCCATGTAAATTTTCATCAGTATACAAAGACAGAGCTGATAAAAAGTAAATAAAATGATTCCATAGTATATGATACATATATGACAATACAGATACACATTTATGTTCATAGATACTTGAAGATGATGGAGAGTTTGAGGCTAGCCTGAGCTAGCCTGTGTAAAAAAAAATTTAGAAATTAATTAATTTGTAGCACTGAGGATGGAACCCTGTGCCTTATGCCTCTAACACCACTGAGCTACAAGGTATTAGCATTTTAAAAGTATAGTCTTAAAATGGAGACTGAATCCCAAACTTTATGACTCAATCCTAAGTAGGCAAATTCTGATGACTGGAAAGAGTGGGTGGGAATATGATCTACTGACACAGATTCTTAAAAGACAAGTGGATTGTTAGAGAAGCATACTGTCACTCTTGAAATTAAGATTTCTCAAAAGATGACTATTCCTGGTTGAGGGGTGACTTTCTGTGAGCGAATTCCCTTTTCAAATCAGCTGTAAAAAATAAAGATAAACAGAAATCAGTCCATGCTGGTGAACACACTGGTGTCATAAAATTGTTAAGTACATATTGCTTATATTCTGGGAATACACAAATCGAAAACACAAAAAAGAAAAGTATTCTGATTCCTACTTTTCATTGCCAAATAATAAATTAACTTCCTTAAAAAACAACAACAACAACAAAAAACCCCAACTCTGGTATTACTCATGAAATACACCCTTCTTTTGTCAAGAGCCGTTGGAAGCATGGTAAGTTTCCCAGGCAGTCACTGCAGAGCAGCTTGGCCTTCTGAGTGGCTTTCCAGGCATAGCTTCTTGCTGGGGTGGCACTCTTCCTTCCCAGGTCTGGGTCTCAACACACCATCTAGCATGCAAGAACAACTTCATGTCAGGAAAGGCCACGTCAGACCCAGGGGGACTCATTTCAGCCACTCAGGCTGGAATCGCGAAACAGTGTTTAAGGTAAAGAAACATGCACTTTATTTTCCTTCAAATTCTCAACCATTTCAAATAGCCCACACACAAATTTTCAACCTATATTGATTCTAAATAATTCTTAGGAGCCCAGTGTGGTAAAAAAAAAAAAAAGAAATAAAGTATAAGGTAACTTTGGAATATAGTATCAATAACCCTTTATAACCTAGATTCACTCAGTGGAGTGCTGATGGCTCCTGCCTGTAATCCTAGCTGCTCAAGAAGCTGAAATATGAAGACCTGGAGAGTAAATCTGAGTCCTCACTTTCTCTGCCCCACAGGTCCATCTCTCCTCTCTATGGAGGACAAATAGGGGCATTTTGTATTTTCTAGCCTAATCATAATGACCCCACCACAGCCCACCAAAAGTTGTACAAATTATTTACTGTATACTGTTGAGTGAATGGGAGAATCCAGTTTTGTTTGTGTTTTTTTGGTGCCAGTACTGGGACTTGAACATAAGGGCCTCAAAAGCTACATCATTGGCTTTTTCAAGATTTGTGCTCTAATACTTGAGCCACACCTCCATTTTCAGCTTTTTGCTTGTTAATTGAAAAATGTCAGATTTGTCTTCCCAGGCTGCCTTTGAACCTCAGTCCTCCTATCTCAGTTTCTTGAACGTCTGTGCAACTCTTATCTCTAATTAACCATCAAAAGGCTGGAGGTGGAGTTATGGGTCAAATGGTAGAGCACTAGCCTTAAGAAAAGAAAAAAAAAGTGACATTGCAATGAACTGACTGTATCTTCTACAAGATGAATTTCTCAAGGGCTTATACTTAGAAGCCAAACTTCTGGGTCATGCATGAACAAGGTCATAGTCAAGTTCAGCTTTACAATGATAACCTCTAACTCAAATGTTCAGCCCCACCAGACAAATACAAAAATTCCTCAAGCTCCACATCCTCACTAGCACTTGGCACTAGCACACTTCAGTTGTGTAAAATGTGATTTTAATGTGTATTTCTCTGTTACTAGGATTATCTTTCCATGTGTCAGACATTTGTATTTCTGATGCTGTGAAATGCCAGTGACTGACTAGTATTCTCCAATAACTGTTTTCCTTATCAGCCTGTAGGTCTTCTTACATGTTCAGGAGCTAAGTTGGTTCACTGTTGTGTATGGAAAATCTACCCTTCCTGCAGGGTGCTGGTCTTTTCATTGGCTTTATACTTTCTCTTGTAGAAGAGAAGTCCTTAACAGGAACGTATTCTAAGTTCTTCATTTTTTTCTTTTATAGCCAGCAGAAATTTGTGTCATAAACATTCTGTATTTTCTTTCAATACTTGAAATTTTTTCTTTCTACAGCTAATTCATACAAGGCTGATTTTTTAAGTACCATGAGAGGTAAGAATTGGTTATTATCAGCCATAACCCAGTTTCCAGCACTACATATTCAATAGTCTGTCTGTTTCAGCCTCATATGATGTGAATGACACTCTCTAGTGGGGTTACCATGTTTCCTATAACTCATGGTCTATGCCCCATATTAAAGACTGGACTAGCAACAGTGAATCCAGTGATAAACACTGGCTTTATTCATTCCATGATGTTTTCTTTTGTGTCTGAGATAGAATCTCATGATGGTGCCTAGGCTAAACTCTCAATCATCCTGTCTCTGCCTCCTGAGTTCTGGAATTACAAGCATGAACTACCGGACTTGGCTTCATTTTCTCAAAGGCATCTTGTCCTTAGACATTTTATACTTGATGACTCCAGAACAGGAAGTCCTGTTTGCTGGTTCTCTTTACTCTTACTCAGGACTTTTGGTTTTTGTTGTTGTTGCTTTAGTGACTTTTCAATTATAAACTCAGTTCTTATACTTGTGAGTCTTTTCCTTCTGATAAAATACCTTTTTACTTCTTTGAGTGGGTATCTTCTAGCTTCTTTCAAGGACCCCAGTTTCATATAGGAGTATCAAGTTCAGTTTACCTATCTTTCAGCGGGCCCCACTCTTACTTTCAAAGTCTCAGCTTCTATGGAATTTTATCCTCAAGCTAACTCTGACTTAATGTTTGTGTACTGCTACTATTCTGATGCTAAAAAAATGTTTCTCTCTTTTTTTTCTGAGTATGGATTTTTTATTTTCTTGAAACCCCAGTGGCTCTGAAAAGAATCTTTCCCAAGGAGAGATGGTCACTGTGAGGAAAGGAGGCAGCTATTCCCTAACAAGCTGGAGAGAAAGGTGTGGCCAAAGGCTGTCCTCACTCTAGCAGTAAAGCTGGGATTCAGCCTTCACCTATTTGATTTTTCTGTCTACTTCTCAGCAGAATAAAACCACATCCTGGATGATCTGACCATGTGAAATGGTCAGATCAGACAAATCCATAGAAAATAAGATTAGAGGCTACCTAGCGCTGAGGTTGATGCAATAGAGAATGACTAAAATGGGTATGAGGTTTCTTTATGAGATAATGAAAATGTTCTAAATTAGATTGGGGTAATGCTTTTAGAGATCTGGAGAGGCTAACAGCCAATGAATTCTGGATGATTTATGAATCTGGTTTATTTATGCTAGGTGCTGGTGCCTCATGCTTGCCATCCTAGCTGCTGGGAAGCTAAGAATGGTGGTTTGAAGCCAGCCTGGCCAAGAAAGTCTGTGAGACTCTTTATCTCCAATTAATCACAAAAAAGCCAGAAGTGGAACTGTGGCTCAAGTGGTAGAGCCCAGTACCCAGGTCTTGAGTTTAAGATTCAGGACTGGCAAACACACATGTGAATTATACTTCCATAAAGCTGTTTACTTGAAAAGGAGATAAGCATATTATCTGATATAAAACTCTTGTTCAAAAATGCATTAAAAACACAAACTTAGTTTAATGAACTGTCACAAAGCAAACATACACTTCACCACCTCTAGATCAATAAATGAAACATGGCCAGCAAAGCAGCAGCTGTCCTCTGATGCCTTCCTTCCAGTCTCAGAACTTTAACCCAGGCATGGCTTCCTTTCTTTCCTTAGAGAGCTAGGAAGGATAAAGGCTGGGTACATGCCCTCTGTTGACTGTAAGTGGAAAAATGTCTTCTATTCCATGGCTCTCCCAATGGTATCTTTTGATGAGCAGTTCTTAATTTTAATACAGATAAAGCAATTCATCTTTATAGGAGTAGTCTTTCTGTTGCCTTTTCTCTAACAACCGGAACATTATAATTGTTCTCCTCAAGCACTGTCACTGAATATACATCCTTTAATCAGGTCCATATGTTTTCCTTTATTTCCTGATAAATTTTTAAAAAGAAAATTCAGTGGAGACATATTTTTCCAGATTACAGATAGTAAGTCTATGATCTGAATAATAATAATTCAGAACACAAATAATCAAGACATTTACGTTTTCAGAGATCTTTCTAGTTCCTGATTTTTCAGGGTAAATTATTTATCATGAAAACTTTTTATCTAGAATACAGTTGTAACACAGTAACTATTTTCAAGTAATATTGTTAACCAAATACTGTTATAATTCTTATACAGCATGTACCTACAGAAGGATAAGATCTACCAAAGATAATACACTCAAAACAGTATGTTAACATAAATGACACAATAAATGATTCACTTATTGTAGGTATGATGATTCTTAGTTATAGATTATTCAATAAATAGATCATTTCCATTCTCTGACCCACTTGGGAAAACATAACATTACAAAGGAACATAGATTTAGAGTTAGTCTACATAAAGATACACAGAAGTAGAGATAAATATATATGTCTTATTATTTGGTAGTAGATCCATCCATACTAGTAAAATTATTTTCCCTTTCTTAACCCAGGAAGTTTTTGTGTTGGTAAATAAAAGAATTATTATTTATTGCTTTGTACAAACTAAATTTATAAATTCAATTTGTATATATTATTTGTATTAAAATGCAAATTCTATTGGAGTAATCACTAATTACCACTTTCCACAAACCTTATATTTAATATATACACAAATGAACAAATTGAATGGCAAAAAAAAAAATCCAACCTATAAAAAGAATCTCTCCACACTAATTTCCATCACCTGCTCTTTAAAATTCACTATGTAACCTCTGTCCTCAGCAACAAAGCTACCCTTAATATAGGACTTGTAAATGCTTACTTTCTTTCTTTTCAGGCTCATTTTGTTCAAGACTATAAGCTTCAAATGGATTCATCTGCCACTGTAAGAGAATACAAATATTTTTATGCTTTAAAAGAAGTTGATAAATAGAATTTCAGTCTCCTGCTTTTAAATATCAAAACAGCTTTTTAATAATTTAACAAGTATGTTCATATTACCAAGGGCCTAATAATGCTACAATGAATGATCTTGAATGATACTACTGATGGATTACAATGTCTAGAATCAGAGTCAAAACTCAGAAAGAAAGGATCTTCAAGAGCCCTTACTTTCACCTTGTATGTAAGAAAGGAGAGACTAGCAAAGGGCAGTAACTCATATTACCCAGTAACTAAAGGAAGTGATGGAATCAGAACCTCGGCTGGCCAGGCTTGGCATCAAAGAATTCTTGCACATCAAATTCTTCCGAGGTGCTACTGAGTTATATAATTTCTAGAGAAAGCCTCATTGTTAAAGAACAAAACTGTAGCCAACATTACCATGACTTTTCACATAATATCATATAGACTAAAGTTTATATACCATATCGTTTTATATCATAACAAGCCATATATATCCCTAGTCTACTATTCTAGCTCAACCATTCAGAAAGAAAATAGAGAAGACTGAACATCTAGAGAAACCTGGAGCAGCAGAACAGAAAATGGACTCTGATCAGTACTTCACAGTATAGCCTTCCTTCTTTCCTTACCTGGCTAAACTCTTCATCAGAATCATTAATGGCTCAATTATAAAGGTCCTGCTAGGTTATTAGGTCAACACCAAGAGAGAGAAGTTACAAGAGGCTGGAAGTTACATGAGAAAAAAATTTTACAGGGACATGTTTGAAGCACATCAAACCACTAAAACCTATTAGCTTGGACAGAGAAAATGAAAACCAGAAAAATGTGGATTTATTTAAGATTACTTATAAAAAAGGCTTTTGATAACTGTAAAACCTTAGAGACGTGTGCAAATTTTAACAACACAAAATGTAGCAGTGTAGTAACAGTGCTATGTATAAGTTACGGAATAACATTTTTACAATATATGTATATATACATATATATACAAGCATATATATACATGCTACATCTACACACAGTATATTTATGTTCTAGGCACCCTGGACTCAAACTGATATACATAACAGAAATGTTAACCAGTCCTTTCATATGCTTTTTCTACCATTGCAAATTCTAGTATGTAAGTGCTACATTAAATGTTAGGATTACTGGATGTCAAAAGCAATACTATGTAAATCATTACTGGGACAACTAGTAGTAAGCCTTGGCTGAAATCTGTGGACTAATTGCAAAAATGTATCAGTGTTGTTGTTGTTTTTTTTTAATTTTGTGGCTTTACTAATTCCTTATTCAAGGAAACAAAATGGTTTTGATATCCTGTTAACATCTTATAGAAAATTTTCTTTGTAGAGGTCTTAGAACTTTTTTGTATGCTTAAGATGGTTTCTAAAGTAAACACGTTTAAGCTGGGTGCCAGTAGCTCATGCCTATAATTCTAACTATTCAGAGGCTGAGATCTGAGGATTGCAATTCAAAGCCAATTTGGGCAGGGAAGTCTGTGACACTCTTATCTTCAATTAACCACCAAAAAGTCACAAGTGGAATTGTGGCTCAAGTAGTAGAATGCTAGTCTTGAGCACAAAAGCTCAGAGATAGTACCTAGATCCTGAGTTCATGCCCCAAAACCAGCGCACACTCACACGCGCACACACACATACACACAAACACACAAAAGTAAACAAATTTTTAAAAAATCTAAGTACTAAAGAAATATAAAGAAATAAAATTCTGAATTTTTTGTGAACTGCTCTTTTGAACTATCAAATATGAGAAAATATTTTTTCCTCATTTTTCTCCTGAGAAATGTGTGTATGGACGGACGGACATGTCTTCTGGTCTTCCATTGTTTACCTCTGTCCACTGGGTGTGAGGGAAGAGATAGGTCAGAACTTTTCTGTTACCAGCCCACCAGATGACACCAAAGTACCTACTGGCTCCAGATACACAAGGTCAGTGCACAACTCTATAGCAACATTAATTCATAAGGCAGAGATCCTTGGCAAACATTTATAGACAAGTGCTTTTCCATAAAAATGAACTCAATTATAATCATCTGCTGAAACTTATGTATGTACCAGGACATCAAACAACATAATAGGATGCACGCTTTGAATAAAAAGTATATCTACTTACCGTAAATTTGCTAACACCCTGCAGTTCCGCAAACTTCATATAAGAAATGTCTGCCTTCTTTTTACCAACATCTACATCCCCTGCATAGATTTGTTTTATGCCTGCACCTTTAATTAAAGGTACACATTCATCACAAGGGCACTTGGTTACAAAAATCATACTTCTTTCTTCTGGTTTTATTTCTTGACACCTATAAAAATTCACAAAACATACGTAAGTAGTCTCTGAAAGGGAAAATTATTTTTTAGAGAAATCCTTAAAGTTGAGCTTCTTGAAAAAGATTTGTAACATTATAAACAATAATCGCCTTATTCTTAATTAGTGAATACTCAAATCATCATAGGATGATTGTATTCAACAAACATTTGAGGATGACAAAGTCATACCTTTGTACAAAATGGAGCAGGAGAGGAGGAGAAACACAAGAACAGAGGAGACTTTCGGTGAAATTTTGCCCCCTGGGGTAGTGTAGGACTAAGGATTGCTGTTGTCTAAGGTTACATGGATTCCAAGTTCAAGTTCTTGAGTCTACACTGCTCTCAGCTAGCTGTCTTCAATTCTTCCATATCCACATCCATCTTCTAGTTGAGACTCTCTGATATGGTTTGGATATGAAATGTCTGCCAAGCTCATATAGTCCCCAGCTAGTCGATCTAGTTATTGAGAGGTGACTGGATAGTAGGACTCTGACCTAACCAATTGGTTGATGCATTGATAGAGTCATGTAATATGATAGCATTACTGGGAGATGGTGGAACCTTTCAGAGGTGGGGCCTAGAAGGGGAAGTAGGTCACTGGGCTCATGTCCCACCAGGCCCTTCCTCATTTACTCACTGTTTCCTGGTAGCCCTGAAATACAGCTGTGCTTTGCTATGCCCTTCTGCCATCAAGATTTGTCTCACCACATACAGGTCTAAAAAGTAACCAAGCCAAGTGACCATAGACTGAAACCTCTGAAACTGAGCCAGGTTGTTTTCTGAGGCATAGTATCACACAACAAAAATACTCTCATTTCCGTTCATATGAATCCTTTGCATCTAGCCTGTTCAAACAACACACCTATATTATAAATGGCCTATCTCTAGTCTATTTATGGTCTATATATGGTCTACCTGTATAGTCTATATAGTATGGTTCTGCCAACAGAATTCCACTTCCCCACTACCTACCAAGGAAGAGCTAACTCAAGGTCCTCTCTCATTCAGTGCCAGCCTATCCTGTGAACTGCATTTACCATGTGTCCACAGTCCAGCCTAACTAGAATATGTATGCTCCTAAATACACAATGCACTTTCCAACCTTTAGACTGTGGCTGAAGTTAGAAGAACGGCTTTTCTGATAATATATAAGCTTGCAGGACATCTCAAGTAGCCATAATCCTAGCAATCTTTTCAAACTCAGCTCAAAAGCCAGCTCCTTCCCTACAGCTCCTCCTCCTTTGTCCAAAGCATCCCTTAAGGTCCACAGTGCTTGTGTTTCCTCTCCTCATTATGTGGATTTAGTTTTAGAGGCCCTGCCCTTTTAGTTCTCCCAAGACAAGAGCCATTATGTGGAGACTTACATGTTTTTTTTTTTTTTATCCCATAACACCCCCTTAGCTGTAAATGCTAAGAAAGATTTGTGGAAGTGACCTAAATTAACCTTAAAAGGAGGGAATTCTAACTGTAATCTCTAACAAAAAGCTCTTTTATAATAAAGTCTGTATGTTTATAAATATAAACACATTTGCTCTAGGCTTAGGAAACAAAGGAAATACCAATAGCTAAAAATATGAAAAGCTGAACAAAACTCTAAGGATGAACTTTCAGTAGGAGAGGGAGAGAAAAAAATTAACCAGATTTGCTCAATAAATTGGAAGGCCTGGAGAATCTATGACAATGGCTTCAGATTCAGTAGCAAGACAGACTTTAATCAAACTTATGTTTCTGAAAATAATGTTTCTTATTAAAATTTCATAAGGGAAACAAATTACCATAAAAGAAGACTGTTTTAAACTAGCCTTTGTTATTTAAAAGTACACTCAAAAGTATCTCATACCTAAATGTCAAAGCATTCTGTTCCGCATGTACGATGTATCGGAATTTCCTTATCTCTCTGTCTTTCTGCTTGTCATCCATGTGTGGGAAGTCAGCATACTCGGATCCAACAGGAAAGGCATTATAGCCACATCCTACAAAGTACATTGCGCCAGTTCCATCACAACTTTTCTGCAAAGTGAGTGGACCAACTATGGTGAGTTTCAGCATTCTGAAAAGTCACTTTGCAGTGAAACTATAAATTTGCCATCATACTCTGTATAATGCAGATTCTTTCCATTTCTATAACATACCTATCCATCAAAAATAAAATACCAGATCCCCCAACTAATTTCAATTAGTTTTAAAGGAAGGGAATGTCAAATTGTGGACTTGTCAAAGCTTGATTCCAAGAATCTGTCTAATTTGTAATCTCAGGACCATCTCTGGTTTCAGCAGCAAATGAAATACGATCTTGTTTAACTCAGAAATCATTTTACACCTTCCGACATTTCCCTCCAAATAGATTTGCAATTGAGTATTCAAGCCATTTCTGTACTTTAAAAAATACTGTATTTTTTTACCCCCTAAAGTAGCATGTTAGATGGTTATCAATAAAACAGGTACTCAATAAGTAATTGTTAATTTCTTATATTTATACTCTGTGTTGTTCCAAAACAGGCCATTTCTGTTGATGCTATTGTACACTGGGCACCAGTGGCTCACACCTGTAATCCTGAATACTCAGGAGGCTGAGATCTGAGGATTGTGTCTGAAGTCAGCCCGGTCAGGAAAGCCTGTGAGACCTTTATCTCTACTAAATTACCAAAAAGCCAGAAGGAGCTGTGGCTCAAGTGGTAGAGTACTAGCCTTAAGCAAAAAAGCTTAGGAAGAGTGTCCAGACCCTGAGTTCAAGCCACATAACCAACAACAAAATCTTTAATATCTAGTATTTACACATAATCACAGAAGTTCTTACTTCAGTGGCTGTTTCTTATTAGTTGTTTATATGAATTCTTCATATTATGATTAGAATGACATCAGTGATAAGTATTTAAAAGTATTTAAAATAGCTTGGAATATGCTATAAATCTCACTAAAATTCCAGAGTAAATATCTAAAGACTTATTTCCATACTTACAGATTTCCTTTCTGCCCAAATCACAGCTCCAACTCCTGTTTTGTGATCCTCTGAAAGACATATAAGATTTAACTCAAAAAAGTCCATAAATATTTTTTAAAAAATAATAAAAAATATTATTGAAATATACTTCATACTTGACATCTTCACTAATTATAGAAAATACTTTTTAAGCATGGAGCATGGAACTGAGGTACCAAATAAACAGAAAGAGTCACTACCATACAGTCATATATGATTAAGTTTGGAGACCTCTAAAATGGCAATGGCCAATCAGATCGCTTCTAAAATAGAAGTGGCCAATCAGATCACTTTAAAGCTGTAACTAGGTCTGAGCACAATCTCACTGATTCTCCATTAGCAAGTCAGTTTCTAAATAACTGCATTTAATAAATGATGAAGACAAATAAACTGAATAAAAATGAAGTTTCTGAGCTAGTGGATTTGGTATAATAAAACTCAAAACAACCGAATTTAATTTCGAGTATTTTCACACACTAATCATGGAAATACATCTTATGGAAATGTTTTTATTTAGAAGGTTCAAACTTCTCATATGACAAAATTGTATGGACTTTCATATCTATCTATCACTGAAAGGTACTGAAGGAAATGGTCTTAATAGAATACAATATATTCCTTTCCTTGCCTGTCCTAGTTTACTTTGAGGAGAAATGATGCCAAGTTAAGGACATTAGACTCATTTCTAAATCAAGTGGTGGATGTTATGGACATGAGATTATAATTCTCCTGCAGAACAAAAATCTTTGTAATACATAAAGCTATTAAAAATATTAACTTGAAATAGAAAATCAAAAACCAAAATAGAAATCCTGTATTTAAGGATCTCCTTTTTGGGGCTGAGAAGGTATCTCAGTACATGAGGCCCTGGGTTTGATTCCTCAGCACCACATAAGCAGAAAAAGCCAGAAGTGGCATTGTGGCTCAAGTGGTAGAGTGCTAGCCTTGAGCTGAAGAGCTAAGGGACAGCACCCAGGCCCAGAGTTCAGGCCCCACAACCGACAAAAGAAAAAAATCTACTTTTTCTTTTTTTGGGGGGGTGTCTGTTTATGGGGCCTGAACTCTGGGTCTGGGCACTGTCCCTCAGCTATTCAGCTCAAGGCTAGCGCTCTACCACTTGAGCCACAGCGCCACTTCCGGCTTTTTTCTTTTTGCTTATGTGGTGCTGAGAAATCGAACCCAAGGCCTCATGCATGCAAGGCAAGCGCTCCACCACCACCTTCCACCTTCCCAGCCCCTCTACTTTTCATTCTACATAAAAGTGAGTTTCAGATTTCTCAGGCAGATATAGACAAATTGTGAAAAACATAGTACTTATCAAAATTATAGGCACAGTTACATAGAGAAAATAAAAATAATCTATGAATTTACTCAAGCATTTTCAAACTGGTAAACCAAGTGAACTGAGGTTTCACCTTCCAAATTCCTAAACATTAATCCTTTCAATGATAATACACTTACACACTTAATTATTTTTCCAGTAAAAGTACAAAGAAAAGCTGTGCCACAACTGTACCAAAAATTAGGCTCCTCTAAATTCATTTTTTAACGTTTTATTAATACAATAAATATTTCTCATCTCCAAATACACTCAGGCTTTCAAAATTATACCATAAAGCATTTGTATAATTTGTTAAGAACTTTAATCAATGATCCCAGTTTTACCTGAAGTAAAATAAGTCTTCCCAACCCACTACTTGCCTTTCTTCCATCTCTTTTTAATATTAAGAATTCCAAAACTGGGCATAAGCTGTAATCCCAGCACTCCAGAGTAGAGACAAGAGGATCATAAGTCCCAGGCCAGGCTGGGCTACATAACAAGTTTAAGACCACCCTGAGCTATGTAATGAGATCTTGTCTCAAAAAAACCAGGGCTTGGGGTTGGAGCTGTGGCTCAGTTGGTAGACTGCTCGTCAGTGAGTGAAAGCATCACATGCCAAGCAGAGCCCCAGTCTTGGATGAAAAACAAAAACCAAAAAACCCAAGGGCTGGGGATGTAGCTCAGTGGTAAAGCATACTTGCCTAGTATGCACAAGGCCCTAGCTTTGATAATTGAATTATCATCCCTTAACAAAGATTTCCATTATTGAGTGCCTTGTGTGTGGAAAGTATTGTGAAAGGCTGACTGTGCAGTGGTGAGAGAAACATCAGCCCATCTTCATGTAACTTACAGCTGGAAGGAGCAGAGAAGGACAAGGAAACATGTGCCATGCTCTAAGGAGGGATCAGCATAACACTAAGGACACAGACTCATGACAACTGGCTTCTATAGTATGGAGATTATTTCCCGCTCCTCTCCCCACCCCCCACCCCCGCCCACCCCCTTCACCCCACCCCAACCCCGGTTGTGGGGCTTGAACTCAGGGCCTGGGCATTCTTTAATACCTTTGGGCAATGCTCAAAGGTAGTGCTCTACCACTTTGAGCAAAACTTCTGGTTTTCTGGTGGTTAATTGTAGTGTCAAGGACTTTCCTGCCTGGGCTGACTTTGAATTGGGATCCTCAGCCTCCTTAGTATTACAGGCATGAGCCACCAACACCCAGCTCACAAAGGACATTTTGATGTTAATAAAATTTTGTTCCTTACAGTATCTTAGAGCTTTAACATGAGGGGGAAAAAATTCAGATCAGGGCTGGGAATGTGGCTTAGTGATAAGAGTGTTGCCTAGCATGCACAAAGCCCTGGGTTCAATTCCTCAGTACCACATAACTAGGAAAAGCTGGTAGTGGTGCTGTGGCTCAAGTGGTAGAGTGGTAGCCCTGAGCACAGAGAGGCTCAGGGACACAGCGTAGGCCCTGAGTTCAAACCCCAGGACCAGCAAAAAAAAAAAAAAAAAGAATTAGATCAATATAGCTTTATGCTATATTGATATTGTATTTTATATATACACTGTATTATACATGTTATATTGATATTATATACTATATTTTAAGTCAAGTGGCAGAAATTATAACCACAAGATTTACAAGATTATAAGTACTGAATCCATGCATAGTATAAATGAAAATAACTAATGGAAATTTCTCCAGAGTCCACTTTTCTATCACTATCATTTTCCATAATGATACTTTAGTTTTGGGAGACACTTTCTTTGGCTCACTCTGGGGACAGCCTCATCTTGTCAGGAGTAGGGTAAATAGAATTTTTCCATATCTTACTGCCTAGTAAGGGTTTTAGCTACACTAAAGCAATGGTTCTTCCTGTCTTTTTAAATAAAATGAAGCCAATTTCACATTAGATACCAAAGCTGATGAAAGATGAAGCAATTTCTCAAGAAAATCTTTTCAATGAAGATCTCATTAGGTAGTCCAGATTGGCCTCCAACTTGAAATTCTTCTATCTGAGCCGTGTAAGTGCTGGGATTACATATGTGTGGCACCTTTAATTCTTAGTAAAATTACACCCTGGGATCTGGTTATTCTTTGTTGTTGTTGTTTTTTCTGTGCATGTTTAAAAGAAAAGTCAATTTATGATTTCTGAGCCAAATTCCTGAGAAATCAGAGGACTCCTTAGCCTGTGGTCTGAACACATGTTGGCTGTTTCTAACTGGTCCTGCGGTCAAATCAGTGCTTGTCCAAGTATGCTCCATGTACATCATGCATCAAGATTGCATTAAGATTGCATCAAGATTGCATTAGGAAGGTAAACTCCTGGCTCCTGGCAAGGCTTAGGAGTTTTATCTCTCAGTGCTAACCATCAGGCATACTAAATTTGAGAACCAGATATATGATTTAAAAGTTAACATTTTTGGCTACTCCAGCCTACGTGTACCACCAACACTGTGAGACAATACTGAGGAAAGTGCTAATATCTAGCTTTGGAAAACACTTCATCTAATGGGTAAATAGATACAAGAAAATCACAACTCAACACAGGCTGTATAGATTAAGATAGGATGCCCTATGCCCAGCATTTTGAACTCATTTTGTTACTTTCTTAGTATCTCTAAGAATCCTAAAATAGACTTTAAACTCTTTCATGCATCTTCTTTAATCATTCAAGAGATGATTAATCAGGCAGATAGATAGACAGATAATCCTATCTACTAAGGAGGCAGAGATCTAAGAATCATGGCTCAAAATCAACCCAAGCAGGAAAGCCTGAGACTCTTATCTCCAATTATCCACCAAAAATCCAGAAGTGAAGCTTTGGCTCAAGAAGTAGAACTCTAGCCTTGAGCACAAAAGCTCAGTGAGAGCCTAGGCCCTGAGTTCGGGCCTGGGACTGGTATACACACGTACACACAAATACATCCACATACAAAAGGTTATTAAATACCTACTTTCAATTGATCTAGATCTGTTAGATTTTGCAACTTAGATTGCAAAATATATGTCTGCATACATATGTATGTGTGTATATATGTATAAATATATGAGTCTATGTAGCCCAGATTGGCCTCTGATTTGTAATCCATCCACCTGAGTGCTGGTATTAAAAATATGTGACATCACTCTCAACACATACACACACATTTCAACATAATGGTTTAATGAAATCTTTATCTATAAATTAGGGGAAAATAAATTTGTCAGAGCAAACTAAGTATTTGGAAATAAAAGGTTGAGCAATTGGAAGCACATTATATCATAAGGATCTTCACCTGTGTGGCTGGTCTCCAGCCACATAAATCACCTCGCTCAGTGTATGACATGTAGAGTACAACATTCAATAAGCTGACATTAGAATTGATCATCAATGAAGAATTACAGGTCCAGAACTCTATCTGAAGCCTTTATATCAAGTTTTTCCAACAGTTTGATGTACTTATTTTATGGCTAACCTTGACCCAAGTTATTATTCATGGACTTTACTTTTTGGCATTTAAAACTTTGATAGTCTCTGTAATTCTAACAACCTGGTTTCACATAGGTATAGAGATAAATTGAAAAGACTGAAAATACAGAAATGAACCCAAGTGCAACAATAAGTTTTCTACATGAAGACAATGGGTACAGCTCAGTTGTAGAGTACCCTTCTAACATGCACACGGCCATGGGTTAGATTCCAGTATTCACAAATAAATAGATAAATAGTGGAGATGCCTAATGGTTCTTCCTCTACAAGTATTTGTTTTGCTCCATAATGTATACGACTAGCAAGTACAGTCCTAAACTTTAGTGGACATGCTATGTAACAATATAGCTATCATATTAACTTTTTTAAAATTTGAAAAAATTTTAATTTTTTTACCTAACCCAGTGGTTTTAGATTAAGTACTGTGAACTATTTATATTTGAATGTAAAAAAAAAAGCTTCTTTTATCCATTCAACACATACTGTTTGGTGCTAAAGAAAAAATAAGCCATAGTCTCTTACCTGGAAGAGTTGAGGCAATTGAGTGTGGCAATTGAGTTATATCCTACTCAGGATTTGAGTTTGTGGGGGAGAAGGGGAATGAGAAAGCACCCTTGAGATGGGCACTGGTGGTACCTGTAATCCTAGCTACTCAGGAAGCTGAGATCTGAGGATCAAAGTTTGAAGCCAGCCTGGGCAGGAAAAGTTTGTGAGACTCTTATCTCCAATTAACCACCAGAAAATGGGGAGTGGCACTGTGGCTCAAAGTGGTAGAGGCCTAGCCTTGAACAAAAAAGCTCAGGGAGAGCACCCAGGCCCTGAGTTCAAGCCTCATGACTGACAAAAAAAAGAAAAGAAAAAGTACCCTTAAAAAATCTTTTAACTTGCCCATCAACTATATATAGTTTTATATATAAAACTCTGCATAAGGGGCTGGGAAGGTGGCTCAGTGGTAGAGTGCTTGCCTTGCATGCAAGAGGCCCTGGGTTCGATTCCTCAGCACAACATACACAGAAAAAGCTGGAAGTAGCACTGAGGCTCAAGTGGTAGAGTGCCAGCCTTGAGATGAAGAGCTGAGGGACAGCGCCCAGGCCTAGAGTTCAGGCCCCATGACTGACAAAAAAACAAAAAAAACTCTGCATAATAACAGTGGATAAATCTGTAACACTGTAACTACACAGTAGAGTATCTAATAATATACATGCAAGTTCATCTCATACATAATATGTCTCTAAACACTGCAATCAGATGGTGGGATGAAGTTCTACCAGAAACAAGAGATCAAGTAAAGTACCAGATTTACATTCTGGAATGCGGCAGGACTCTGCTGAATTCTAACTAATGAAGGAGAAATAGTGAAGTATAGCTGTAACAGGGTCCATTTTTCCAGAAAGATTTTTATAAACATGATATTGGCAAAGAGATGAATAGAAAACCTAAGATATAAGATTAACTTCATTAAGTCTGACTGTTGTGTGGGGTTATATAGCATGTCTATGGAAACAAGTTCATTAATAGGAATGGAGTGATAATTGATCCTGATGAAGATCAGAGTACCCCGTAGTTCCAGGCCACACTTGGTTAGAGATGTGTTTGGATGGTGGGGTTTAACCATCAGTACTTTTTATTAAGGTTTCCATGGTGATTTTGATACCCTGTCAATTGAAATCTTCCATTCTACTGAATTCACTTTGACCTGTGATCTTTTTTTTAAGAATACACTATTGACAAATAGCATATTTGTGGACCTTTTCTGTCTTCTCCTTCCTTACTGGGTTAATTTAAAACTTTTTATATAAAAATCCTTCCTATAAAACTCCTTCTATAAATCCTACAATACTGCGGTCTCTGCCTGCATCTCCCTTACTTTTTTCAAAGTGACTTCTACTTATTTCAAAATGTGATAATTCTACTTTGATAAATATTACAGGCAATAAGGTATGAAAATACTGTTCCATAACTAGAAATATAGATGCTATGTTTTTTGACAATAAAGAATATTCCCAAGGCATATTTTCCTTTTCTACATACAATACACAACTTAATAAAGTAAAAGAGGTGCCATTCAATTTGCTGAAGACATATAAGCAATTAGGAGAACCTGTAGTAACTAACATGCTTTTATCTTGATTCTGTTATTCTTATTTTTAATTTTGTAGCTTTTGAACTGTTTTTATTAAATACTGAATCCACATAAAATGTCAAAAAATGATTTTTCTTTTTGTCCCATCTTTACTGGAGGTGTCAATGAACAGTAAAGCCCTAAATGCAAGAAGCAGAAAGAAGGAATTACATCATCAGTTCTGATTTGTAACTGCAGTGTTGAATGTAGGCCACAAGGAATCCCAAAACTGCTCCACAGAGTTGTCTACATCCAGGTTTTATAGTTTCTCTACAACGAGTCAACAGCAAAACTTTCATATCTAAGAGGAAATGAACTCTACCACAGATGAGTACTTAACAAACAACCCAACCCACAACCCCATTTATGAACTAAGCATTTAACTCACCAGTTCGATACGCCAATAACCTGGCCTGAACCATGCAGTGCCTTGCAATTTCTTGTGGCAAACTTCGATTGCGAGTTTCATTAATCTGTTCTGGATTGCTACAGTAAAATCCGAAGTGTTTAAAGTTGGGCACACTGGAAGCTACTGTGGCCAAAAGTAGGATAAGGTCTTTCATGGTTTGCCTTAGATTGCTAAAGTATGGGTTTTCACAGAGGTTCTCCAGACCTATAGTCATCAGAATTTGCTTATGCATTTCTTCACTTGAAACCAAAAATACCATTTCATATTCTTTTATTCTTTCTTGTTTACATTCAGAATAAAAGTCAATGTTAGCATCTGGCATTGTTTTTGTAATTTTTTGAATAAAGTCACATTTGTAAGAAGTCTCCTCTACAAACTGCACCATACAACACACTAAAGGTTGGAGTAAGACACACACATGGGCCCGACTGTTAGACTTCAGTCTTTCCACAGCTTTCGCATCTAATTTTGCATCTTCAGAACTAGATGCTTCACTAAGCAAACTTATTTCTGGATCAGCAGGCCAATAAGAAATCCGATTAACTCCAGCTGAAACACAAAAACATGAAAGGTATTACCTGACACATGCTGATAATTCTGTGTTACTACAGTAGATCAAGAGGCTCCCATATAATAAATGTCTATGACTAAACCCCTTACCATATAAGCTGAGGAATGGCAAATAATTACCTACCCAAAGCCCACCCATTGCTAGTTTTTATAGAGCTCACAGGTTAAATACCATTTTTACATCTTTAATTAACTGACAAAAATCAAGAGTATTTCAGATAACATGAAATTATGAAAAATAAAAATTTATTGGAACACCACCCTAATTCATTTACATAGTCTTTGGCTGCCTTTGCATGGACAAGTGAATATAGCTTCACAGATACCAATATGGCCTGGAAGACATGAAATACTTTCTGGCATTTTCAAGAAAAAAATTAAGCACGCTGTTTAAGAGAACCCAGGATGGAAGGCATCTGCAAAATTGCTGATGCTGCCAAGTGTGGTACCACATTTCAGCTCTGGGACTCCATGGCACCACAGCTGCCTTTAAAAAGGCTACAATCAAGCCAGGCACTAGTGGCTCACACTTGTAATCCTAGCTACTGAGGCGGCTATAAAACAGATGATTGCAATTCAAAGATAGCCCATACAGAAAAGTTCAAGATACTCCATCTCCAAAATAGCCAGCAAAACACACACACACACAGACACACAGACACAGACACACACACACACACACACACACAGAATGGCTCAAGAACACTATCTGAGCAAGCAAGTTGACCAAGTGCCAGGTCCTGAGTTCAAACCTGGGTACCAGCAAAAAAAAAAAAAAAAAGGAAAAACAACAACAAAAATAAAAATCATGCTACAGCTGAAACCTGATAACGTTTAGTTTTGTGTCTGAAACTAATCTAGGCATTTTTAAATGTTCATGCTTCACTGAGCAACGGTGGCTCACTCCTACAACCACAGCCAACTCAGGAGGCTGTGATCTGGGATCCCGGTTCCAAGTCAGCCTAGGCAGAAAAATCCAAGAAACTCTCACCTCTAATCAGCAAAAGGCTAGAAACACAGGCATAGCTCAAGTGGTAGAATACCAGCCTTGAGTGAAAATAGCTAAGTGAAAGCATGAGATATGAGTTCAAGCCCCAGTTCCAGCACAAACTAATAAAATTAAAACATTCCTGTCTCTCAGAATTCTTCTGATAAGCATCCTAACAAAATATACTAAGGTGAGAAGAGAAAAAAAATCATGTATGTATCTTTAGCATGCATCATTCCTCAAAATATGAAAAAGACAATTTTAGATGACCAATATAGGGAAATAGTTAAATGAACCGTAGTGTGCCTCATCATTACCAAAACTTCCACAAAGAATTTATAACATGGAAAAATTCTTACAGGAGTCATGGTGAACAAAGGGAATAGTTTTTTTAAGCCCACTCCACTATAAAACAACACATGAAAGAAAACCTTTTCCTTCCTTCCTTCCTTTTCTTTCTTTCCTCCTTTCTGTCCCTCCCTCCCAACATCCCTCCCTTCTTTCCTTCCTTCCTTCCTTTTGTTGTTGTTGTTGTTGTTGCTGTCAGTTATGAGCTGTCAGGGCCTGGGTGCTGTCCCTGAGCTCTTTTGCTCAAGGCTAGCATTCTACCACTTTAAGCACAGCACTACTTCCAGTTTTCTGGTGGTTAACTGGACATAAGAGTCTCAAGGACTTTCCTGCCAGAGCTGGCTTTGAACTACAATCCTTAGATCTTAGCCTCCTAAGTAGCTAGGGTTTACAGAGCTAAGCCACTAGCACTAGGCTAAGAAAACATTTTTCAATAAATGTGACAAAATAAAGGTTAGTAATCAGTCTTTAATATATAGGTATGTGTGTGTGCATGTTGCTAAGAACTGAACCTAAAATCTCGTTGGGGAGGGTCTCAAATACCACTGAGCTACAGCCCCAACTCTTCCAGAAATGATTTTTTTTTTCTGTTGGTCATGGGGCTTGAACTCAGGGCCTGGATGGTTAACTGGAGATAAGAGTCTCAGGGACTTTCCTGCCCAAGCTGGCTTCAAACTTTGATCCTCAGATCTCAGCCTCTTGAATAGCTAGGATTACAGGTGTAAACTTCCTGTACCTGGCTATTAATGAAGTTTTCATATTAATAGACATTATTTTTTGTTAACAAAGTTCTTTATGGATACCTCTTTTTATGCACACAAAATACTAAAAAGATGTTCCCCTAGGGTTAGTAGTTGATTCCATCAATGTTCTTCACTGTTTTATCAACACATTCTTGTATGAAATTGGTTTCTTTCTTACTGGGAATGCATGAGGAACACAAGGCCTAGCAGTAAGATCTGGTATCACTGCCCTGTTTCAGGCCACAGCACTGGTGGCTTCCCTCACAACTGTTTTGGGTACCACTAGTGTGCATTTAGTACTACTGTGCAAATATGATTGACCACAGTGACCATCAGGAGTCTACACTTTGAGAACCATTTTGTTAAGTCTGTTTAATTGATTGTAAATACAGTAATTCAGCTGCAGCATAGGATCAATCATGCCCCTTGCTCAAGATAACTAAATGATATGTAAGCCTAATCTAGCACAGTAATATTCTTTATATGCTTAGCTAATACCAAAAAGAACACATTTCCATTGTGGGCTCCTCCTGACTTTCTATACTTCCTTCTCCATCTGGCAGTGCCTACATACATCAAGTAGCACTCAATCACCTCACTCCTCACCGTCCTAATTTGGTCCTGAGGCAAGTTACAAACTCTGCTCTCAGCCCAGGCAGCTGTCTTTTATTCATTCTTCAGATCAGTCAATCAATGTTTGGTTTTTCACATGCTTTCCTTCTGTATCAATGTCATTGTCTATAACCTATTTTATAGCCTGTCTAATACAACTAGTAAAACTCCTAATCTCTCATTTGTCCCTATTTGAACAATAAAATGAGTCTTCTGCAACCTACTCAAAAATTGTCCCCTTTGTACAATAAAGACAATAAAAAATAGAGTATAAAAATGTTAATAGCCTATTCAGAAATACCTATGTTATACTGTTTGAGAGGCTATGTCTGGAATATGAAATCTCTAGAAAGTTGCAGTTTCTTTGTGATCTGGTATTAGTCTATAATTTGCTGAGGATTATTAGCTAATTAGCAGACAGAGCTGAGACCACAACCCACTCTTACAATGTGTCAAACATTCTTCAAATCATCTCTGTAGAATTTAGGCAGTTTGTTCCTGTTTGCTCTCAGATAAATCCTCTAAGTCCCAACAAAGCCTTAGCTGCACTTACCATTTACAATCATCTTCAAACAAGCAGAACATGGTTTTCTGGAAAAATAAAGATCACAGTTTTTCAGCGCTGACCCATGTTTGATAAGAGCAATTTGCCCAGCATGTAAGTCTTCACTAGAACAATGCAGACCAACGATTTTCATGTTTTTCACCACCACAAGACCAGTTTTCTTCACCTAGGTTAAAATACAAAATAACGTTATTAATTATAAAATCCCATAATTATATGTATTCATAAAATGAAAGCTGTACAAAAGCAGATTTCTCTTTAGCTTGGAAAGAAATTTCTCAAAGTTTCATGTTGACTTTAAAACAGAAATTTTCAAAACCAAAGCCCTACAAATCAATTAAGTGGATAATTATCACTGAATTAGAGAAAAATGAACACATTTTAATAAAGGGCAAGAGTCAAGCTAGTCTGAAATGGCTTTCTGAAAGATCTGCAGAGGATGAAAGGCAGAATGAAAGCAGAGATCATCTTAAATTCTAAAACTAATACATCCTACTCTGGCCTTGAACTTGCTGTGCAGTCCAGGTTGGCCCTGAACTTGCAATTTTCCTGCTTCAGCCTCTTTAAGTGTTTGGGATTGTAGCTATGTACTCTGATACCTGACTTGAAAATATTTTTTTAAACTGACTACAATAAATACTACTCTCAGCATCCTTCTAAACACTGGATGTACAATTTTCAGCAATATATGGCAGTCTAGACTAATATAATTAAGTCCCCTCTACTATGAATATGTAAGTAAGTTTCAGAAGCAAAAAGGGAAAAAAATATCCTCAGGTATAGACAGGACGAAAGAACTCAAGCTGGGGCAGTAAGCTCCTCTGAAATATTCCAGGAAAGACTGGTCTGCCCCAAGTTAAGCACTGCAGACTGGACGCTGCCTGAGGCGCTAAAGAGTGCTCCAGGATATCTTTGAGTAAAGGCTTTCTGATACCTTGAACCTAAAGTATAGTGACTTATAGAAATATTAATTTAAAAGAGCTGGTATAATGATATTAATGTTAGATGAAACAGACTAAGGTATGCCTGGGGCTAGTGGCTCATGTCTGTAATCTTAGCCACTCAGGAGGTTGAAATCTGAAGATTATGGTTTCAAGCTATCCTATACACAGGAAGGTCCAAGAGATTCTTATCTCCAATTAATCACCAAAAAGACAGAAGTGAAGCTGAGGCTCACGCTGTAGAGCACCAGCCTTGAGAGTAAAAGCTATGGGACAGCATCCAGGCCCTGAGTTCAAAACCCAGTACCAGTACTCCCTCCCTCCAAAAAAAAAAGAAAGAAAGAAAATATAATTTTCATTGTGCTTTGACTAAAATATCAAGTTTGAGATCAAGTTTGGAGAAGGACTTTTTTTCCATCCCAAACTTAAAATGAAATAAAAGACTAAGTTGCAATCTGTGTTGTTTCTTCCACTTACTGCAACTCCCAGAAGACAATCTTTTCAGTGAACCACTGCTCTGGATCTTGATTTTGCTGCACTTCACTAACATCTTGGCAAGTCGTCTATGTAATCCTAGTCACAGAGTTGTACATTAAAACATGGGCAAAAGAGGACAGTCTGTTTTGTATAAGAACTAGTATACTTACTTAAATGGTGATGCACTATTTTTTTCCTTTGTGTTTCTCACAATGAAAACATCAAAATATTCTGAGGCAAATTATTTCCATATTCTTGCTGAACGTTTTAGAGACTCACTCTTAGAACTAATAAGGAAATCTCATTGAAAAGGTACACAGGAGCATCATCAAGGTAACTTTTTTCAAAATATATTTACTTTCTATTTCACACCCAAAGAATTATGGTCTATAAAAAACTCAGAAGATAAAGGTAATAAGGAAATGTGATGTATTATCACAACAAAGTTTATCTTCTAGGTCTGACCTTTGCTTTTATCTTACTTACCAACCAATATGTTGTTAGCCTGTTACCATTTCATGGATACTAGCAGAAGACATGAAACTCCTGAGTCAGAGATGATGAACTTTCTTATGCATAGCACAGTAGTAAACACATCATGTTTGTGATAGTTTCCTGTCCTTATGTCCCATGGGAGGTAATGTAGCTGGGCTCACATGGATGACTGGACACAGACAGCGTTTTATAGCAGTATATTTATAAGCCAATCAATCTCCCAGAGGGAGACATTATCTCACCCTCAATCTTCCAAGTTGCTTTCTACAAACAACCCTTCAGTAATGGCCCAGTTTAGGGTCTAGTAGTCTTGCCATATCTGCCAAGTTGTGTACTCATGTGACAGAACATGCAAAGGTGTTTTTCAACACACCTAATTAAGGTGTCAAGAGTTGTACTAGAAAAAAAATTTTTAAGCAAGAAGTAGGAAAACATCATAGAATTATCTCATTTGTTAAAATAAGCAAACAAGAGACACACAGGTTTGTAAATGGACAAAAGTCTTAAAGGAGAAGAAACTCCTTTAGAAATAGGAATGAATGATGTGAGTGTTAAAAGGTCTTTTATACTATTTCATACTATTCTTTTTGTTTTGTTATATATTATGTATGTCTTTCTTTTCATTATAAATCACCTGTTTTTTATCAGCAGATACTCTATTCACCTCTTCATGATCTCCCAAAGGTCCACGCTTTTCCTCTTCATTTTTCTAATAAAAATTAAGAATAAAGGAAAAAATTATTAATATAATTAGTTCCACATTTCTGTACTTAAAAGCTGTCAAAAACCGGGCACTGGTGGCTCATACGTATAATCCTAACTACTCAGGAGGCTAAAATCTGAGGATCGTGGTTCAAAGCCAGACTGGGCAGGAAAGTTTGTGAGACTTATCTCCAATTAACTACCAAAAGACTGGAAGTGGCGCTGTGGCTCAGGTGGTAGAGCACTTGCCTTAAGCTGAAGAGCTCAGGGACAGCATCCAGGTCCAGAGTTCATGCCCTATAACTGACCAAAAAAAAAAAACCTCATAAAAATAAAAATTTAAATATCCAATTATAAAAGTATAGGTTCATCAATACAACTGACAAGACATTTATTAAATAATAGAAAAAATCCACATAATACATAGCACATGCCACGCACAAGAGATTTAAAATATTAGTTTACTCATTGTTTACAAAAACTTCATGAAATCATCTGGTGATATAGCTCATAAGTAGAAGGTTGCCTAATACATATGGGGCCCTGAATTTGACCCCAGAACTTGGAGGTGAAGGTGGGGAAGGAACCACATGGTATGAATTAGATAAGGAAGCTAACTTAAAAAGATTAAATGACTCACTCAAAGTTACACAACCAGTAAGAGCCAGAGCCAGGAGTTGTAGCCAGGCTACAAAATTACTTCCTATTCTTCAAACTGCTGTTCCAATATTTGTGATAAGATTCTTTTTTCTTTTCAGTCTTTGTTTTCTTATGTTAAGTGAAAAAGGTGGAGTCCAGAATTAAGTGATCTCAATAAGGATCTCAAAATGAAAATTATGAAGATATGAAAATTAAGAAGAGTGAGGTAAGGAATGGGTAGGGGAGGGATAGGTGAGAATATTGAAAGGGGTGACATTGATCAAGATAAATTGTATTCATAAACTGCTTTTAGTAACTCATAAAAATACTTTTAAACAGATAAAAGGCTAGTGAAAGTGTCATAAACAGTACTTCTAATACATATACCTATCAGATTCTTTTTTTTCCCTTTGGGAAGTTCTTTTTTTTTTATTTTATTTTATTTGTGAAGATACTGTACAGAGGGGTTACAATTACATGGGCAGGATAATGCGTACATTTCTTACCAAGCATTGCAGCCGCCTCCTTTTGTTTACCCTTCACATCCCTTCCCAGCCTCCCCCCTCCCCCCAAATCCCAATCCTTCTCCTTCCCCCCTTCCTCCCCCATACCTATCAGATTCTATCTTGCATCATCTGTGAATACTTTGTTTAGCAAAAGCAGAATATTTTTTTCATCAGATCACTGGGCTCAAATTTTTATTCTCTCAAACTTTTTGTCTAAACATATACAGACAATTTTATAGATATATGTATTGATATGTAGGTATATACATAGGTCTATACAGAAATCTATGAACATTTGCACATCATTTAATTTAGATAACATTTATGATTCTATGCTAGTTCACATATGGCAAATGTTAATAAATGTAGAAGTAGCTTTGGCAGTGGGTGATATCTAAAGGCAAATTTTTAAGTCATTATCTGGCAGTTTAAAGTAAAAACCAGGATATCTACTTAATCAAATAAAACAGGGTTCCAGTACTAGATGACTTGATATAATAGGATGGGCAACAGGAGATGGCCTAGAACCCAATAGAAACCACCCCTTGGCGCTCTGAACATAGCTGCCAGTTAGACTCCTGTGAACTGTTTAAGATACGTACAAGGTCTTACTTCTTATGTGCCTAATATCAGTAAATTTGTCCAAAACCTTAAGTTAGACAGTATGTCTAGTCAATATCAAATTTGGCAAAAAGAGTAGACAGGGGTTACCGGGGGAACATATGTTGCTCATCTCTGTTTTTTTTAAATTTAATTTTATTGTAAAGATGCTGTACAGAGGGGTTACAGCTACATGAGTAAGGTAATGAGTACATTTCTTGTCAAGCATTGTTAGCCCCTCAGTTGCTTTTCTCCTGCTAACCCTTCCTTCCCCCACCTTCCCTACTCAGTCCTTCAAGTTGTAAAGTTCATTTCCAACAGAGTGTCTTGTGAATATCATTGTTGCAATGGGTCATTCTGTGTCCTTATTTCAGCATTTTGTTATTCGTCTTCTCCAGAATAAATAATTTGTGTGAAGGGAAGTAGTTTAGTAGTAGAGCACTTGCCTAGCATGCTCAAGGCCCTGGGTTTGAGAACTAGGATCCCAAGAGAGAGAAAAAAAAAAACCCTAAAAACTAAAGAATTTAAGTGAAACAATATTATTAAGGAAATTTTTTATTCTTAGTAGATCTCAACCCTATGAAGACTAAATGTAATTATCAGCCGGGTGCCAGTGGCTCATGCCTATAATTCCAGTTATTCAGGAGGATGAGATCTGAGGATCACAGTTCAAAGCCAGCCTGGAGATTCTTATCTCCAACCACTAAAAAGCTGAAAATGGAGTTGTGGCTCAAATTGTAGAGTGCTAACCTCAAGCAAAACAAAACCTCAGGGATAGTGCCCAGGTCCTGATTTCAGCCCCAGGACCAGCACAAAAAGAAAAACTAATGTTTTAAGAAATGTACTTCTTTAAGTATAAACACAATTGGAAACATATGCCATATATGAACTCCACATGTATTCCTATTGTTTAATTAAAAGTTATCAACCTATCTACTCTGGAACAGTACAACAATGTCAAATACAAAATTACTATGATCAAGCAGGACACTGTGGTTCATACCTGTACTTCTATATACTTGAGGCTGAGATCTAAGAATTGAAGTTCAAAGCCTGGGACAGAAAAGTCCTTGAGACTCTTATCTCCAATTAGCCACCAAAAAGCTAAAAGTGGAGCTCAAGTGGAGGAGCATTTGAGTAAAACAGCCAAGTGAAAGCTTGAGGCCCTGAATTCAAGCCCCAGCAATGCACACTTGCGCATACACACATACACACAATGTGTTATGATCACAACTACCTGTAAAATTATGTAAGTATATTATTTGGTATAAAAAGGAAACCATATTATGGTTTTGTATGCCTTTCCACAATATCATTGGTCTTACTCCTTTGCAATGGTCAAGAGATCAGAACTAACGAAATTAAACTTTACTCCAACTGGTAACCTACAGATAATGATGTTCTAAGTATTTGGCAAATTTGCTTTTGTACAATTTGAAATACATTTTCTATAATAAAAGTCAGTTAAATTCTCAAACTAACATACAAAAACCTATTTAACTCAAAAGATCACAGGCTAGAGTAATCTGGAATATGCTCTAGTCCAAGTGTAGAAATGCAAGTGTAGGTCTAGGGTTTGATGACTGTGGCGACATGGCTGTGGAACTATAGCTGGGAAAACACTAACGCAGTGACTGCATGGGAGTAAGATCAGGAAATAAGAGGAACAATCTTTCCTATATCCCATTAAACCTATTTCCATGTTGGCTGTCATTCCAAACCATGGACTGTGTTTTTATGAATACTTTTTAATTCATTTCTATGCCTGTTTTAACTTTTAAGAGATATAAGTAGATATGGATGAATTAACTTCTAAACAAAATTCCAAATAAAATATCTGAAACCAAACCAATTTCTTTCACTGAAAACACTTCATTGGTACATGTCAGATGAAGGACTTACATGGCAGGAAAACTGAGATTGATGAATTCAGGAAAGATGGAAAACTGACAGACTGAAAATACAAACTTCATCTCCTGAAAAGGAGTGTCTGGAAAGGAATGTCTCTGAGACTTTTTTCTAATTTACCAAAAAAATGCCTACAGTGAAGCTATAGCTCAAGTTTTTGGTGCCAGCCTTGAGCAAAAAACCTAAGGAACAGAACCCAAGCCTCAAGTTCAAGCTCCAGAAATGGCACATGGGCACACAAACAAGTACACACATGAAAACGCACACACAAACACAAAAGATGCAAAGGTGTATAAAACCTTGTTACTAATGAGGTTTTATAACTCTGATATTCACTAGCACTTCTAATCAAAATATTAACTGAAAGTTTTATCTCAGTTATTTTCTCAGGATACACTGTTTTCTCTATAAAGTGGGGAGAGCGTATTAGGTGAGTGTTGAGAAATTGAGAATACCAATATATAACATTTTAATTTGTGTTTCAGTGTGTGTGTGTGTGTGTGTGCGCACGCGCATGCATGTGCTGGTCCTGATACTTAACTAAAGGCCCAGGAGCTGTGCCTTAGTTTTTTTGCTCAAGTGGCAGGCTACCATTTGATCCACATTTCCATTTTTGGCTTTTTGGTGGTTAAAGAGTCCAGGCACTTTTCTGCCTGGGCTGGCTTTGAACTGTGACCATCAGATCTCAACCTCCAGAGTAGCTAGAATTACAGGTGTGAGCCATTAGCATCTGGCCTCAGTGTTTCACTAAAGCATACCACATCAAGATTGGGAAAGAAAAGTAATAAAAGAGGTATCATTTTATCATGAGTTCCTTTGCTTACTGTTACAAGCCCTAAATGCAATCCATACAGGATAAGTCTTAACTCCTTTGCAAGAAATGTAATGTCTTTTAAGAAATTATTTCCATTTTTCAAAGTTATTTGTAATCTCATTCCTCCTCCCAACTTCATCCTTGGACACAGGTTTATAAACTGTTTCACCCCTCTAAGCTTAGTCATGTAGCATCTCAGTGCAAATCCTACCTTCCCTGTGAATCCTCCTTTCTCCTCTCCTTTAGAGCTTGGCCTTCAACACTGTTAGCTTCTCTATTAACTTGGTTCTACCATTTATCTAAATATGAACTAATTATTTAAATACCTGCTTTTTTCTCCCCATTAGAAAATAAGGGCCTTATCTTTACTTCTTTTTATTTCCAGTGCCAACTGCACAATCTAAACCATAGGAAAAAAAAAAAAAGCACCCAAAACAAAAAAATACAAGTAGGCATGAATGATATCTTAAGAATAATGTAGGGCCTTAAGAATTTGTCTTTCTGGGAAAAAAAAAAAAGTGGAGAGCAAACTTTTAGTACAAAAAAAGACAATCACAATGTTATAAAAAAAAATTAAAAAATCTTCACTAGGGAAATGGAGGCAAGAAAGCTTCGAATTTGAGGCCTATCTGAGCTGAGAGACCCTGTCTCAAAACAAAAAATCCTAATCCTTAAAAAAGATCATAAGGAAAGTATGAAAATGGGCAATCCTTTACCCCTCTGAAGTGTTTTCAGAATGATATTTTCCATAGTATGACTTTGGCCCCTAATAAAACTAATTAAACTACTAATCCAAATGGTGAGAACCTGATACTCAATCATGGAGGAAAATAATAAGAACCAATACCATGTTGCAAGAAGGGCATAAGAAAATATGTGAAATCTTCTTACAATACTATCTTTTATGATTATTCTTTAAAAATATTGTATTAGTCCTGGGTCTTGAACTCAGAGTCTGGGCACTCAGGGCCTGGGTGTTAGACTTGTACTCAAGACTTGGTAGACCTATGCTATTATCTAAGGTACAGCTCCATTTCTGACTTTATTTGGGTGGTTAAATGGAGGTAAGTCTCACTGACTTTTTCTTGCTTGGGGTAGATTCAGGCTAAGATCATCAAAAATCAATGTCCTGAGTAGCTGAGATGATAGGCTGGGCCATCAGTGCCCAGTGACTATTCTTACTGTACATTCCTAGATGGCTTTTGCATGCTAGACCATAAAGGCTAGTTCTCAAATCTTAAGGCTTGCCAAGTTTGGTTTTAAGTGTAACTGCCAACTGGAGCAACAAAGCCAAATCTTAGATCGTTTCTTTTTGAAGGGTAAAACTGTCTATGAAAACAAATTATACCTGAGATTTTTCCCTTTGGCCTTCTACTCCTGGGAAGAGCTCCATCCAGAGACTGAGCAGAGTAAAAAGGTTGACTTTAGAAAGCCTTGGTGTTTGACCTACAAAAGAGAGGGCAAGCGCTTCAGAATTTCCCTGATGATGAAAAGAAAAACTAAGCTCAAAGCCACTTGCGAGCTGCAACCATAGCAGGGGAAAAAAGGGAAAATAAATTAGGGGACAGGAGAATCACAGCTTGGTTACAACCTCACTGTCAGCGACCTTCTGAGGACCCTTCCCAAGCCCTTTTTCTTTTACTTCTCCCGACAGAAAATAATAATAATTAATAATAATAATCATCGATTACACTCAGCTAGGGAAACAATCTAAAGCTGGGGGAAATCCTAGCCTCTGATGTGGTATGTAATACGCTTTTTTTTTTTGATGGAGGAGGGGGGGCTGTGATGAGGAAGGAATTGTAAAGCAGTCGACCTGTAGAAAAAGGTCACGTGAGGCTGGTTTGGAATTCAAGGTGAAAGCGCGATGCGGGGGGTCAGGGTCTTTAGCTCCCCTCACCCCATCCCAGTTCTAGATTCCGCGACCTACAAGGTAGGGCGTAACCTCAAATGCTAGGGTGGGCAGCCAGGATCGCGCCCGGGGACGTGGAGTAGCGACGCAAAGGCGAATGGGAGGAGAGGGAGACACCTGGGCCTAGAGAACGGCCGGATGCTTTGGCAGGTCCCGGACACTCACCGGTCATGCTGCCAGTCTGGGTGCTGACTGACCGCCCGGTCCCCGCGCTCTCCAGATTTTGCATCTGCCCAGCTTCTTTCATACCAAGCCTCGCTGCCCCTGCTGCCCAGGAAGCCTCTCCCGGTCAGTCATGATCTTGACCTAGCGGGCTACGCTCTCGCCTCCGCCCGGCAGCTGACCAGCGCCAACGGGGCGCAGACAGAGGACGTCTCACGACCGGGACAGCCGCTTCCGGGCGCCTCTCGTGACGTCAGAGGCGGGCGTGGCGTCGTGGGCGTGGCCGGTGCTGGCTGCGGCTCTGGAGCGACGATCACCGGCCGTTGGTATTAACTGGTTTCCCTCCTTTGACCTTGTCGGAAATAAGGTCACTTGAGGATTTCTTGGGGCAGGTCCCAGGGTGAGCAGACCCGTGAGGAGATAGATGGCTGTTGGGTTGAGAATTTTGTTCATGGAGTCCAGGATCACGGTTGAAGTTTCAAGAGAACCAGAGCCGGGCACCCGTGGCTCACGCCTATAATTCTAGCCACTCATGAGGCCGAAACAGTGATCATGGGTCAAAACCAGCCTGGACAGCAAACTCCGTGAGACTAGTCTCCAATTAACTACTAACAAGCTGAAGTGGAGCTGTAGCTCAAGCAGGAGAGCGCTAGCCTTGAGAGAAAACTAAAAAACAAACAAAGCTCAAGGACAACTCCCAGGGCCTGAGTTCATGCCCCAAGATCAACACACACACCAGATTAGTCTACTAAATGGCTTTAAAACAAATAGCTCTTTATATCAAGTGAGCCTGGATGTTAGCTAGACAACCTAAATGCAGAAGCTCAGCACACAAGTCACTTATCAGTGAAGTCATCTTGGTCTCAGTTCCTTGTGTGCAACAAACAACCTATGAATCTCAGGGACTGCCCCACAAAGGCTTATTTCTGGCTCACATTACACTCTTGCTGCTCTGTCCCTGTGGACTGTTTCTGGGATGCAGGTAAAGGAGCAGCTTCTGTCCTTCCTCATTTTTTCCTCTCACTTCCTGTGTCTGTGAATAATCCCCTGGGCTTCCCAAGCCTTCTGCCACTGTCAGAGCTGCTTCTGCCTAAATGGGAACCAAGGGAAGAGAGGGTGTTGAGTATTCAGAAGGTGGGGTAGGAAAAAAAGAGAAAACAGAAGGTAGGAAAGAGGGAAGAAAAGAGGAAGGGGGTTGGAGTGGTGTTCATGACAATTTTTCATGAAGACTAAATGATTCCAAGTAGCATAAGTTCTGGCAAAGAATAGGTGCTCAAGATTATTCACTATTGTCCCCTTCCTTCACTCATTCATTTGCTTATTCTTTAAGGATAGTCCAACCCTGCTTCTTTTATTCTAGGTCCAGATAGGTGGGGATGTTAGTTCTAAGAGTAAGCTTGTTTGGATAGAATCCTCTTGCCATGAAACAAGCTGGTACTCTGTGTAGTTGATCACAAAAGTGCTGGGTCTTCTTTGCTGTTAGACTGGAGGTGTCTGACAGAGGCTGCATACTTGGCTTGTATAAGAAACATGACCCACAGTCAAATTTGTTCTCACACTGACCAATGACTGTGTCTTAGAGCCTGTGTAATGGAGATAGGTGGCCACAGGACTGATAGGGACTACTAATACCAGCCCATATATAGGGACAGGAGATTAACCTGAATATTGTCATTCCAAGCAAAGAGGTGGTCCAAACATCACTCTGAATCCAGAAATTTAGATTTCCTAAACGATCTCAGAAGCAGTTCCTGGCAGTGCTTTACCCAAGGAGGGACAGAGGCTTGAAATGAAATCCAGATGCCCTGTAGGACATGATTGCTTTGAAGTGGAAGATGTTGTTGCATAAGAGAAATGTTGGTTGCTCAGGTTTGCCACATGTTGTCCCAATGTTGTCCTGAGAAAGAACACTTGGTGCCACGGAGATTCACGTGCTGCTGAGTAAGAATGTTCAGGGAGCCCTAGGGATGCCACTGCTTAGAAGTGGGGAGGCTGGGTGAGCTCATGTCCCCCTATTTACCAAGGTTCCTGCTCCTTCCGCAGGCTGCATGAAGGGATGGATGCAGATGGGCCTAGGTAGCAGTCAGTATACAAGCTTCAAGAGTGTGTGTCCTTCTGGACTGTCACCTGGGTTCAGTTATTTCTGAATAAATATCCCTAACAACATTCTCTAGTTAGACATATTAAAATAAATAGAAGGATGAGCCAGGCATGGGGATGAATACCTGTAATCACAGCACTGGAGAGGTTGAATCAGTAGGGCTGTGAGTTCAGTGCCAACCTGGGCTACACAGTGAGACAAATATATATATATATATATATATATATGTATATGTATGTATATATATATATATATATGGAAATGAAATTAACCCAACACAAAGGATTAAGATAAAGGCAAGGCCAGGCACCTGTGGCACACGCCTGTAATCATAGCTGAGGAGGCTGAGATCTGAGGATCACGGTTCAAAGCCAGCCCGGGCAGAAAAGTCCATTAGACTCTTATCTCCAATTAACCACAAGAAAACCAGAAGTGGTGCTGTGGCTCAAGCAGTAGAGCGCTCACCTTGAGCTAAAAAGCGCAGGGATAGCGCCCAAGCCCAGAGTTCAAGCCCAATGACTGACCAAAAAAAAAAAAAAAAAGATAAAGGCAAGGATATAATAGAAAAAATAGAGAGCTAGCAATGATGGAATATCTAGTGTTTCCATATACCTTATGTAACAACAATAGTAATAATGATAATACTATCTTACATCAGTAAGCATTTGTGTTCAGGTGCTGTCCTTGGGACCTTCTATAATTTCACTTACTTTCCAACAAATATGCTGGCTATCATTATTGCTTCTACATATAGGAATTCACTCAAGTAAGTGACTTGTTCAAACAAAGCTTGGAAGGTGTGAATATGTCATATATCTACATATATATATATTTTTTTTGGGGGGTCCGGTCGTGGGCCTGAATCTGGGCCTGGGCACTGTCCCTCAGCTCTTCAGCTCAAGGCTAGCACTCTACCACTTGAGCCACAGCACCACTTCTGGCTTTTTTCATATGTGGTGCTGAGGAATCGAACCCAGGGCCTCGAGCATGCAAGGCAAGTGCTCTACCACTGAGCCACCTTCCCAG